TTTTTTTTTGTACAATCCAAGATTAATTTCATTTGTTTTTCAGCTACGTGAAGCGTTTTTGGAAGAAGCCCTTGTTTGATTTACTTGACAAACTCAAGGTAACATTGGATCGCATTTACGGCGAAGGAAAAGTGTCCTTGATTGATGCAACCCTTCGATGGATGTACCATCATTCCCATATGGATGGTGCTCATGGAGGTACTTACTCTCTTTCTTTGTTCTCAGCCTTTCCTCAACTTATTTAAAAGACGTTCCCAAATAACTATAGATTGCTTTATTCTCCTCGCACTTGCCAATAGCTCGCTAGTTTGAATTACCTGATTCGCCTGTGATTTAATATGTAGGTATGATCAGTTTGTCGCCACATAAAAGTTTCTCTGGAGAACTTCGTTCTTTAACAAACGGTCACTGTTGTCGAAATGGAAGGATTAGTGTTAATATACCGTTTAATCTCTATCCACGCACTGGACAAGCTTCAGTTGTCCTAGATAGAGCTCTCAGCTGCTTTCAAATTATTTCTGCGGACATGATTGATTAAGCGTGCAGTTTTCTTTATCGTTGACTGTCTTGCCTTGCCATATCCATGAAATTCACAGCAAGAAGCTACGGTCAGGAGAAACAGTTGCGTTTTCGTAAATCCTCGCATAGGAACATTACGTACCATCTGAAGTTTACTATTTTTATTAACCAGTCCGAAGGTTGGACAAGCGTTTCCAAACAACCGAAAGATGTCACGTAAGCCTTTCGTCATAACCATTCGTCTTGTTACTAAGCAACATCTCGTACGAAAACTTAGTGCTCAGTCTCAGAGAGCCGCGGACTAGGTCTCGGAGAATGTAATACGAGAGAAAAGTTACTCTCGCTAATCATTTTGTTGTTTCAGATGCTGTTATTCTTGGGGCGTCCTCTGTCAAGCACTTGGAGGAAAACATCAAGAGTACGAAACACGGGCCCTTACATGAAGGTAAGCACAAAGGAACAGTCTGAAAAAACGAGTTTTGTCCTAAAAGACATCTTCAGTGAAGTCATGGTTTGCTTGGGTGCGCAGGGCTGTGGCCTGTAAATGTGACCTGCAAAAGAAACCTGTCTAAAGTGGCTCAGTCTTCCCCAGTCTCAAACATTCATGTTCCTCGTCATTATGTTTTGGTTGCTTCTTTGGTGTTTCTGGGGCCCATAACCAAAATTGACCAATCAGAACGCCTTATTAATTGCCGCTCCAATATTTTCTGAGTAATGGACCAAGTAACTTTACTATCAGTTCCTCTTCAATTACAAAGACGTGTAATAAACTTATTATTAACCAAGCTTTGCCTGGGACCATACCTGGAGAGTATCAGCCTTCCGTCTTTTCTGTGCGGACTTCGCTGTGCTTGATCTGCACTGTCAAGACCTAAGTCGGATATTATCCCAATACAGCCTACGTGCTCGGTCGCTGAAATACATACCTCACATGGCAGGTAGAGCAGATGTACAACTGAAATGTGGCCAGTATTTGGGTGAACGCCATAAATTCATCGAGTCATAAATCACCTGTTTTGTTTTTTCAACTGAGCTGATATCGTGCGTGTTATTTGATTTTCATATAATCTGATTTTTTTCTCTCTCTTCTCTGCAGATGTGGTCAAAATATTTGAAGAGACCTGGGGTGAAATAAAGAGCGACTGTCCTTTGTATTTCCGCTGAAATGACCTTACGACCACTCCAGGCTCACCGAATGCGTCTCAATTTGGTGACAACATTTTTCATTAGTACAGAAATGATAAGTGGGGTGACTGAGCAAAGCTTAAGCTATAGAAGATTAAGGTTCGTAACAAAGTCCGTTGAAGAATTTGTAGTCGTACTTCTTTCGGTTTCATATTTCACGGACAGATCAAACAGGCGCTTATGTCCGCTTTAGAAAGAAATAAAGTAAAGATCTGAATTGCTGCCAGGACTGGTTTTGAGTGTACTGGTGGAGTATTTTATTCCAATTATAGAAAGTAAGCAATAGTATAGAGCGGGTATTTTAGTAGGGACTGGTAGTGCTCAATTTATTTGAGCTTTGTGAAAAAAAAAAATTATTTTAGGCACTCACGTACTAAAGTCTTTTAACCAATCAGAGCCGTAGTAGATGCGATCTTCTTAGCTAACTGGCTTGATTTAAAGCATCGTGTTACAGCTCATCATTAGTGTTGTTCGTATGAGTCAGGGTCACGCGGCAAAAAATGAAAGCAAGTTTGACCCACCGACAAGTTTGTACTGATTCACTGTGTTCCCTACAGGTATTTCTCTTGGATAGTAAACTACAATGAAAAACATCTGATGAAAAAGCATTTTTAAGTTCATCTGTGAACAGTTTCCGTTTAACAATGAAACAACGTCATTATTGCTTTGAAAGGCCTATTAATTATTGGCAACGCACCATTAAGTCAGTATTGGTATTAAGAATTGTCCTTCTTTGAAAATGTCACTCAAGTATTTTATTAAGTACTTTAAAGCATATGTTTGCAATTCTGGTTTCCTAATCAGTCGTCCTTCAAAAGTTCCTCAATGTCCGGTACTGCATATTCTGTTGGCTGGCGTTCCTGCGCCTCCACTTTTTCGTCGATCAAATTTTCGTCCGGAGCAGATTCTTGCACAACTTCCATAGTAGGCAGCTCGAGGAGGTCTTCAATGGGTATTCCTGCTTTCTCTTTCTCTGGTTCAGCAATCTCCAGAGCCTTGTGGTATCGTGGTTTTCTACGGACTTCCATCACCACAATCTCTTCTTCGAATTCGTCTACCTCCCCATCGTCATCATCCTCGTCGTCTTCGTCTTCGTCTTCTTCATCAGCCGCCTGGGGCGGTGCCGGTTTTTCTTCTGTTTTCTCTGGTTTTTCCTCATCTCCTTTCTCCTTCTCCTTGACCACATCACCAAGAGTTAGTATAGAGATAACCAGTTTGTCCCGTTTGGCGACTTCGGGGTGGATCCTACTCTCATTGACACTCGGTTCCAGGTCCTTCTTTTTCTGGTTGTAATCACTGGAATATTTCAAGTGAATATTGAAGTCGGACATTTCAGCGGTTTTGTCCTTTGTCTCAGGCGATGACTGTTCCACCATCCACTCTGGCATGTTAATTTGGGATTTCTCCTTCTTGACAACCATTATCGGGTCCTCGCCGCCGTGGCTAGAAGTCTTCGTAGAGCGCTCGACTATTGTCGTTCCTCCGTCGCCACCTCCGATCGTCTTAGTTATGACTGAACGCTGGTAAACGGTGTTAGTGCCAGGGTTGTCATCTGCAGACGTGCCAGTTGTGATGGTGGTATGCCCTCTTCTCTCAAACATGTTGATGTTATGTGTTTGAAAAGGCTGGCCTTTGATATGTACCTTAACACGGTTCTCTTGCGTTGCAGGGGGCTTGTTACCAAATTGAAGGAACACTTCTTTCTCCTGGATAGCGCGGTGGTTGGTCTCAAATTGAAGCTTGGTGTGCTCCTCTGAAGGGCGTGGCATACCTCCTCCAAAATTGATCAAAATCTTGTCTGGGTCGTGGCCCCCGCTCTTGATCTCTTTGGTCTCACTAGTGACGTTACTAGGCCCGTTCTTTGAGCTTATCCTCGTGGAAGTCGTCGTTATCGTCTTCACGATTCGTCGAATACGTCGGCCGTTCTCATCCACGTACTCCCTCACTTCAGTATTCTCGTCCGTGTCGCCTCCAGCTTGACCATTTTCTTTCTGTAGTGTCTCGAGTGTCAGATGTTTTGGCTCACTATCGTCAGACGATGTTTTAGTAGATGTTGTTGTTACGGTTTTTGTGACCACCCGTCGAACTCTCATCCCGTTTTCATCGACGTACTCCTCCATGTCCTCACCAATGCCTTCGTCTTTATCGCTGTGACTAGATTCAGAGCCGTCCTCTGTTTCTGGTTTCACTTTCGTCTCCTCGGTGTCTTTCTCTGCATTTTCTTGCAGCTCTTCAGGTTTCAATAAATTCACGTTTTCGTCGGGGTTGTTCGGAGATTTGGCGCTGGCGTAGGCGACTTTAACGCGTTTTTCTTCTGGTTCCCCGCGTAAACAACACGGGCAACACCACCTTATACAGGCTGAGGGAAATAATAAGAATACAACTATTATTAAAAAGAACAGCTCACTAGAAAACTGAGCAGAGTTAACTATTTAAAACAGTAATAACAAACAATTTAATTGGTTTTTGAGCGATTGCTACTCCTCGCATTTTTTGGCAACCGCTGATTCGTCTCGCGAAGTTGCTGGAACTGCTTCCAGAAGTTCTGTCTGAGGCGTTAATTTAATAGCCTGCGAACGCAGACGTATTTCCGGCTGTCGCTTGTCTCCGCCGAAAATAACGTCTGCGAACCCGAGCCAGGAAACGATTTCTGTGACGTAGG